TTCAAAGCAGACACTCTATGATTGAGCTATGACCTTTCCCAAAATAAGTAATGCACCTGACTCTCTAGAGAGGGCTCTCCCATAAGACCACTGCCTCCAAAAGGAAGCCCCCAAAAGAGGGCTTTCCCATAGACCATCAAGACCAAGATTTAAAATTACCACCTAAAGAGAGCACCCCCCCAAAAAAACCATTAAGTCAGAAGTCTGAGATTACTGAACTGCACAACTGTTCAAGCCACCTGGCTCTTTGGATCCATCCGCTCTTGGTGACAACTGCAACCTGGCATGGGAGCTACAAATTATAACTTGGTTACCTGCTGCTGTTTTCACTCATGTGAAAGTAACATTTCACTCTGGCCTGCTAGACCGGACAGCAAAGCCCTATCCTGGTTCTGAATGAACAAGGCCCCTCTACGGGGAAAAGATGAGAGAAGGCAGGTGTTCTTTGTTTGTTTTTTAATGGCAATCACTCACTGCAGAACTAGTGCTTTGATTGGAGGTATTGAAGCTTTCGAATCTGCAGGCAGGAGGGCCATTCCAGTTGCTGGGTGGCAATGGAAGAGGATGTCAAATGCACAGTGAAGGCTTAAATGCCACACCACTGGGTGTTGATTGCAGATATGAACTGCACAAGTTCCCCAAATTGGAGGCAGCAGGAGATCCTCCCACAAAAAGGAGTGGCCTGTCATTTAAATTATTTGGCGATAGTACTTGAGACTGCAACACAGAGAGAGAAGTTCAGACAGGAAAACAATTAGAGAAATGGGTGATAAATAGCACTAGCCTGGCCATAAGGATAAATGATATTATTTTATTTGCAACCCTTGTCATGGGTTCAAGGGTTGACAATGATGGGCATCTGCCAAGGTTCACTCCTGGGATGAGGGTTCCCTGCTCCTTCCTCACTGCTCCAACTGTGTCACTGCCTCTCCAGTTGCCCTCTGAGAGCATGCAAGTAATGAAGAAAGTGAGAGGATTAGAATATGCAAATTGCATTAAGACACATCAAGTGGTCTTCACTTTGCATAGCCTGTCTGGGATTGTGAGCAACATCTGGAAAGTCAATGGAGAGGCCGCCCTGTGATTTTCTGGTCTATGAAGTGAGTTTGGGCTCAAGGGAATTGTGGCTTTTCTCTAGAGTTTGCTGATGGGCTATCATTTTTGAGCCAGGCCCAGTGTCTCACAAGAGTATTCTGGACGACGGTTTGCATTTGTGTTCTCACAGCTGAAAGCACCGAAGCAAGCACAAACAGAAATTATTGAATCAAACCCCATAAGGCTTCAAGCTTGAGAGATTTCCAAGAAATATTTTTGAAGGAAAAAAAAAATACAACTTGCCAAGTTTTTATCTGCAACCTCCCTTAAATTCCCCCAATTATTTTGGCTTCTAAAACTAATCTAAGCAGAAATTAATGACACAGGGTTATTTGTCCAATGCTAGTCTTAGTCAGAGCAGCATTTAAGTTATGCATGGGTCCATTTAAGTTAATGGACACAACTAAGATTCATCTATTTTGATGGGTTTGTTCCGAGTAGAACTTAGTTGGATACAACCAAGAGAAAACAAAAATGCAACCTTCAGATTCTACGCAGAGAAGGGTGAACTCCTTCAGTCCCTTAAACCTTGTTCCAGTCTTTAAAAACAGTGATGATGGGAGGTTTCTCCTGGCTTTAATACAAACCATTTGCATGTATGGTTTGTTATGTCCACTGCCATTTATGGAAGGGGCAGTGTTTCCACTCTGAGCTAATAGAACTCATTCCTGCCTTTTGGTGATGTCTCTGTGGGGTTATTCCAATGGCACTGCCAGGCCTGAGGGGTCACTAGAAACTATGACTCTCACCCCTCCCAACCATCGCACTCCTCCCTCCAAACACTGCCCTATTCACTCCTGTCTAGGAAAGGGAATGAATCTCCTACATTAAATTGTGATATGCTTGGGAAGATTGAGGAGAAGGGAAAGAAAGTGCATCTATGAAAACTCACATCCCTAGCCTTAGAACTATGATGTGGGGAGAAGAGAACGGGCCCCCTTTGCTTTATTTTCCCTACAAAAAGGTGAAAAAAAGATAGAAAGAGAGACTTGTTCTTCCACACCCTCTCGCTAGGTGGTGCAGTAAAGGTAAAGGACCCCTGACCATTAGGTCCAGTCGTGTCCGACTCTGGGGTTGCGGCGCTCATCTCGCTTTATTGGCCAAGGGAGCCGGCGTACAGCTTCCGGGTCATGTGGCCAGCATGACTAAGCCGCTTCTGGCGAACCAGAGCAGTGCACGGAAATGCCATTTACCTTCCCACCAGAGCGGTACCTATTTATCTACTTGCACTTTGACGTGCTTTTGAACTGCTAGATTGGCAGTGCTAGATTGGCAGGAGCAGGGACCGAGCAACGGGAGCTCACCCCGTCGTGGGGATTCAAACCCCCGACCTTCTGACTGGCAAGTCCTAGGCTCTGTGGTTTACCCCACAGCGCCACCCTCGTCCCTAGGTGGTGCAGTAGAGACCCTTAATGTCCCCCTTATTTTTTTTATATTCAAAACATCTTAATTGTGGGCTCCTCCAGATGATACGCAGGGACGCGGGTGGCGCTGTGGGTAAAACCTCAGCGGCTAGGACTTGCCGATCGCAAGGTTGGCGGTTTGAATCCCCGCGGCGGGGTGCGCTCCCGTCGTTCGGTCCCAGCGCCTGCCAACCTAGCAGTTCGAAAGCACCTCCGGGTGCAAGTAGATAAATAGGGACCGCTTACCAGTGGGAAGGTAAACGGCGTTCTGTGTGCTGCGCTGGCTCGCCAGATGCAGCTTGTCACGCTGGCCACGTGACCCGGAAGTGTCTGCGGACAGCGCTGGCTCCCGGCCTATAGAGTGAGATGAGTGCACAACCCTAGAGTCTGGCAAGACTGGCCCGTACGGGCAGGGGTACCTTTACCTTTACCTTACCAGATGATACAGTGGTGCTGCTGAGACTGACAAGTTGTGTTGCGCAAGCTACAATGGCAATGGGGGGTGCTCAAAAGTGTCATGATGTTGGAAAGCGAATAGACGGTTGGTTTGACAAGGCTCTTTAAAAAACTGCTCTTCCTCACCATATTGTGTGTCTTGCTTGAGTTAAACCACAACTTGGAGCTGATGCTGTTCTGCCCCTTTACCTGTGGCTGGTCTGATACCAGAACTATGTAACTTATGGAGGGCACTTTGCTCACCATTGCCGGGAGCCTCCCCCCACCTGCACTGGCCATAATGTGAATGATATGTGAAAATAGCTCCCTTGCCTCTCTTGATGTCAGTACAAGGCTCCCAAGCACACGCACTCTCAATCCCATTAAAACTAATGGACTGAGATTGTCCACCCCATTACTTCCAATGGCTGCATTTCAACCAGACAGCCCAAAGCTCCCCTATCCTCCCCAACAGCAAGGGAGGTGGTTTTGACCCTCTCTATGCCTCATTAGCTCTTGCAGGAAGTAATTCACATAACATTTTTTTTAATAAAATAAAATAAAATAAAATATTATTGTAAAGTTGATGGTGGTATGTGCTGAATTTTGCTAATTACACCAGGAAAATAGAAATATACTATTCTCACCCCAGACAAAATACTCATTTGTATGGCAGTTTCAGTTCTTCAAAACAAAATCTCTAGGCAACAGGGTCCCCTGTCTTTTCCAAGGGAGCAATGATTCCTTGCACAAGAATTAGGAAATTGGCTAGCTTCAGTTCAGCACTACCACTTAGAGGGTTTTGTTTGAATGCATGCAAGGGCAAATGAGAACATATGGGATGAGCCTCATCCCTTGACGACACTGAGTATACTGGACACAATCCCTGGCTAATGAGTGGTTGGTGTTAATCTGAAGGGAGCCACCATCATTGAAGAGGCGAATTTAGGGGAGCACTACTGGTTCACCTGCACTGGGTGCCAAGCCGAGAGGGCGCTGTAGGGGGCACCACAACTATGATGTAGAATGGAAGCTGTTGAAAGTCTGCCACTGATAATTGTGCTGAGGATTTCCAACATGGGCAACTGGAAGCCCAGCCAATCTGGCTTCTCACCCCTCTGTTGAACACCCTTCATGCGATGAAGGTAGCTTCCTTCAGACTCAGCCAGTTGTGTGTAAGCTTGGAAGTGCTGCAGGTGCTCATTGCATCAGCGCAGGGGTGAAGCTAGCCCTATGCATTCCCATAGGCCCCTTTACACAAGCAAGTCCTAAAGCTGAAAGTGGCTTGTCCAAGGCCGTACCATGACCAAGTTCAGACATCCCCCTAAGCCATGGTTTAAGTGACCAGGAATGAGCTATGCCAAGCCTCAGATCCTGCCTGAGGGTTTCCCACAGGCGTCAGGTTGGCCACTTTGAGAACAGGATGCGGGGCTAGAAGTGTCATTGGCCCTGATCCAACAGAATCTTATGATGTTCTTGTGAAAAGAGAGTTAGGTAAAGGTAAAGGGACCCCTGACCATTAGGTCCAGTCGTGACCGACTCTGGGGTTGCAGTGCTCATCTTGCTTTATTGGCCAAGGGAGCTGGCGTACAGCTTCCGGGTCATGTGGCCAGCATGACTAAGCTGCTTCTGGCGAACCAGAGCAGCGCACGGAAACGCTGTTTACCTTCCCGCCGGAGCAGTACCTATTTATCTACTTGCACTTTGATGTGCTTTCAAACTGCTAGGTTGGCAGGAGCAGGGACCGAGCAACGGGAGCTCACCCTGTCGTTGGGATTCGAACCGCTGACCTTCTGATCGGCAAGTCCTAGGCTCTGTGGTTTAACCCACAGTGCCACCCGTGTCCCTGGGAAAAGAGAGATAGCTGAGGCCAAATCATGAGGGCCTTTCCTCTCAACTCAGATGTCGTCTGTGCCAGCTGTTGAAAAGTAATGGCAGACACCCAAGACACTTAAGCAGCCTCAGGAGGGCCACAGGTTTCCCATCCCTAATTTATCTTAGGATCATAGATGGAATAGTAGCGCTGGAAGGGGCCACAAGGGTCAACCCCCCTGCAATGCAGGAATCTTTTGCCCAATGTGGGGCTCGAACCCACGAGCCTGAGATTAAGAGTCTCATGCTCTATCGAGTTATCTGAATAAGCCAGGATAACAAACCATGGTTTAGAGATGGGTTGTTCAGGGAAAGTATAGTTGAACCACAGATTCTCCACAACAAGCTATGTTCAGTTGAATTTGGAAGCAGATGCTTTTGACCTCTTTCCAGCTATGCTGCAGGAGGAGAGGATGCAGAAGCCCAAGGCTCATTGATGTACCACTAAACTACAGTTTAGTGTACCTTTTCCCATTCTGGTGCCCTCCTGATGTTGAGAGTTCAACTCTCATCATCCTTGGCCATTGGCCATGTTGGCAGATGGCACATTAGAGGGCACTGGATTGGTGAAGGCTGTTTGCATCAAAACACAGCCAACATGGATATGATTTGTGTCTGACCTTCCCCTATGCATTATATATGCATATATAAGATTTCTGTTCTTTGTTCTGTATAACCTTCTATGGACAGGGAAAATGCACATTTTATTTATTTATTTAATTTCTATATCACCCTTCATCTGAGGAACACAAGGCAGTTTACAATACGTAAACACATAACAATTTAAAAAAATGTTTCCAATGTCTGACTAAAGAGGGGAAATCCTCTACTGTATAAATTTCAATTTTTATAACGCAAAGCAACTTGAGCCCTCCCCTCCATAAAACTCAGAGTGCACAAATGGAGGCACAAGCTGAATCTGGCAAATATTCAGATCACATCCACGGTTTGTTTCTGCTCTATAAACAATGGTTTCCCGGAGTGCATCTGTGTCCATGATACTGAGATGAACAGCCGCTCTCTCATTGCACAGCCAGTTAACAGGTGTGCCTGGAGGGCGGCAGGAAGAAGGTGCCTGGGGAATATAACCTCCTCAGCAACTCAAGCAGAAAAAAGAATACCACCAACCCACACAGAGCAAGTGCGGCAGAATAAACAAGCAGTGTTGTCAGTTAACACACCCAGCAGATTCATGTGGGAAGGCTTTTACCATACCAGTAAGGGAAATGAAATTCCACTGCATGTTGACAACTAGCATGTCAGGAACAGTCTGGAGTGGTACAGTCCAGGTAAAGGAGGACCTGTGGCCTTCCGGACATTGTTGGACTCCAACTCCTATCAGCTCTAGCCAGCATGGCCATAATCAAGGACAGTGTTTCCCAAACTTGGGTATCCAGCTGTTTTTGGACTACAATTCCCATAATCCCTGAACCCTGGTCCTGCTAGCTAGGGATGATGAGAGTTGTAGTCCAAAAACAGCTGGAGACCCAAGTTTGGGAAACACTGGTCAAGGATGATGGGAGTTGTAGACAAGCATCTGGCCCATGAGCCACCCCCGAACTAAGCCGCCCACTCAGTGATTCCCCATGCTCTGCGCTTAACCGGCGCAGCACAGCGTGAGGACTCTCTTCCGTAGCTCCGGAAATCGCTTCTGTGCATGCCCAGATGCCAAAAATTGTGCCTGCACAGAAGCGATTTTCGGTGTCTGGGCATGCACAGAAGTGATTTCCGGCACCATGGACATGCACAGATGCAATTTCTAGCATTGCACTGCACCAGTCCGGCCTACGGAGGATCTCCCTGGGAGTGATCCGGCCCATGCCCAGTAAGCCTTGCCGACCCCTGCTCTAGGGTCTCAGGCAAGTGTCCTTTGCAGTCCTGCTCCCTGAGATGCTAGGCACCACAACTAGGACCTTAAGTAAGCAAAGTATTTGCTCCACAACTAAATTATGGCCAGTGCATTAGGAATGTAGGAACTATGTCAGCCATACAGACTGAGACCATCTGCCCAACTGGTTCAGTATTGCATACTTACTGGGAGCATCTCCTTAGGCTTTTAGATAGAGGTCTTCCACACCCCATCCAAGAGATGCCAGGAACTGAACACGATACCTTCTGCATGTAAAACAGATGCTCTACTGCTTTAGTCAGCTTCTGTTCCTATGAGACCTTTAGGGCAGAAGTTCAATGGGTGCAGCTTCTCCCATTACATTGCACTTGCTGCAGGGAGGGGAAAATACACTGGCTGAATGTCACCTTACATCTGACTTTTTGCACGGTAGAAACGTTTGTCCTGAGCTGTCTTGCACCACTTTAAATACTAGGGCTGTCTCGGTCCAAAGATATTGAGCTGCACAGATTTTCTTTGCTTGTTACACTTTAAAAGACACATACACCTTGCAAAGCTCTGATGTGCTGGGATAGGTAGATGTCCCTGGTCATTAAGGCTTATGTGAGCAGCTTTAGGCAAAAGAAGCAAAGGGGAAGCTTCCAGAAACAAATTGTGAGCACCAAATAAAATAAAAGAGGCTTAGATACAGAGGAAGTAAAGCTGATAAATCTTCTCATTTTAGCTGACATTTTAAAACGCCAGACAGGTTTTCTCAGCACCCAAAGGGCAATAGAGGCACCAGAAGTCCTTATTAGCAAATTTTTCTAGCCTCGGCAACTTCATAACAAAAAAGAAAAACAGAATACCATTAGGGGGAGGGGATGCCTCAAAAAGATTTATCTCTGAAGTGTGGGTTTTTTTCTCCACTGCATCCACATTGACCAGCTGCACAGCGCCAAGGATTTAGAACATAGTCATATGGCCTTTAGAAGGATGAACATCTTATTTATAATCAATAAGACACAAGAAGCCTGACTTGCCCTCTTTCCCTCAGCTACCTGAAGAGGAATAGCAAGGAGTGGGGGGAAGAATCTCCTGTGTGATAGCTAACTTTTGCTGGAGATGATGGACCAGACCAAAATGTTAATACGCGTGTTTGTGTTTGTTGCAAGGTAGGGATGAGCATATCTGTCAATTTTTATTTCTTTCAACGTCTCATTTTTTCCACTCAATTTGCAATTTACCCCATCCATTTGCAAAACATCCTCATGAAAATTCATCAGCATTTTACTGCAAATTTTTCCTAATATACATATTTTTAATGCACTTTTTCCTATTATGAGCATTTTTTTCAAAACAGTTTCCCATCATATAATGCATTTTTGATGTTATTTTCACTAATGTGTGCATTTGTGTGTATGCGCATGCATGCATGCACACGAAGTATACACATTTCTGTACATGTTACTTAGCTGGAAGAGACACACATTTAAAAAGACCCCTGTGTTTCAGTTTGCATATAGTTTGAGAAAGTTCAAACTAGGAATCAAAATTCTCCTCCATCTCTAGTGTCTCAGGAATGGGACTTGCTAACAAATGCCTCACAAGTAACGCCATCATTTTTCATTTAATTTTCGCTGTTGATGCTACTGTTTTTATTATTTACTGTAGGTTCTGTTTTCCAATTTACAATCTAAAACAGGAACACCAGTTCCCATCAGCCCCAACCACATGACCAAAGCAGTGAAGGATGATAGGAGTTGTGGTCCACGACATCTGCAAGTAATGAATATGGGGAAGGCTTCACTAGATGCTGTACTAAATGTTAAAAGCTATTTTTTGTCAGGTTACAATTCAAACCTGGGGGTGAAGAATCTGGGGTCAGTTGTTGCTGAACTCCAGCTCCCATCAGGCTCAGCCAGCATGGCCAATGGTCAGGACTGTCTCACTCTGCTTAGTGGTAGAGTTGGCCTTGAGAAGATGAGGGGGAAGAGGTTCCACTGAGCATAGACAGATATGGTAGAGAAATGTCCCATACCCTCCAACATTTCTCTGATGAAAATAGGGACATCCTAAGGGACGTGGGTGGCGCTGTGGGTTAAACCACTGAGCCTAGGGCTTGCCGATCAGAAGGTCGGCGGTTCGAATCCTTGCGACAGGGTGAGCTCCCGTTGTTCGATCCCTGCTCCTGCCAACCTAGCAGTTCGAAAGCACGTCAAAGTACAAGTAGATAAATAGGTACCACTCCGGCGGGAAGGTAAACGGCGTTTCTGTGCGCTGCTCTGGTCCGCCAAAAGCGGCTTAGTCATGCTGGCCACATGACCCGGAAGCTGTACGCCGGCTCCCTCGGCCAAGAAAGCGAGATGAGTGCCGCAACCCCAGAGTTGGTCACGACTGGACCTAACGGTCAGGGGTCCCTTTACCTTAAGGAAAAGCAGGATATTCCAGGATCAAATCAGAACCTGGGACAGCTTCTGTAAATCCGGGACTGTCCCTGGAAAACAGGGACAATTGGAGGGTTTGATGTCCTGCTTGACCTGCTCAACGGGAAATAGAAGCAGGCAAGGAAGGAGCTCTTTCTTTTATATACACTTATTTCCAAGTTGTGGCAGCTCTGATGGGCCAAGAAGAGTTGGATCTGTCATGATGCACACCAATTGCAAACCATCATGCTTCTGAATCGGGTAGTATTCTCATTCTGGGTAACCTTCAAGGTTTATGAAGTTAAATAAATAAATAAAGCTCATGTCTCTCTGATGCAAAGGGAGGGAATCTTACTGAACTATGAAAATGTTGCCTCTGCTTCTGTTAAACACACCCACACCCACACATATTTTTTCAGAGGCTTGTTCCTACTGTTGGAAGCTGTTGCATCAGCAAAAATTACTGCTGGGGAAGTGAATTTGCTAGCTATTTTAGCAAATCTCATTCCAGCTGGAACCCCAGATGGGCCCAAAGCAGGTGGAAATACTTCAAGAAAGCGCCAGATCTGAAACGTTTGGTACTCCTCTTTCTGTATAAGCAGGCAAACATAATTCTTTGGGGACTAGGTTCATGTTTTTTTACTTATTTGAGCTTATTTTTCTACTCCTAACTCTGCCTCAAGGATAAATGCTGCAGCGAAGGGATAGGCCTGCAGATTTTGCTATTTTCTGGCCTCTGGTCATGAGAAGTGTTTGATGCCAACTGTTGTTGAATGACACCCTAGGAAGAAAGAACATTGAAGGGGTGCTGGGAGTTGTTAGGAAACCTCTATTCCCCTCAAAGGGCTACAATTCCCATAGTTCCCTGGGAAAAGAGACTGATTGTTAAATTACTCTGAGAGCTTCAGCTGTGTAAGGGGAGTAGGGGGTCTCCTAACAACTCTCACTGCCCTTAGCAAACTATAATTCTCAGGATCCTTTTGGGGATACCAAGACTATTTAAAGTGTTATGATGCTGCTTT